GAACTGGTCGTTCCCCAAGGTTGAACCCCCCACCCGGAGGCTTCGGCATTGACCAGTGACTTCCATCCGGTCGCCTGGCGCCATCATGCCGTCTTTCGACTTCACATTGGCATCACAATCGTACTACGCGGCAGCGATAACCTCCTGGCTAATACAGGTGGCACATATTGCCCCTCGACCCTGGGAACCAACCTTGATCCTGCTCCAAATCTGCACGTCGCAAACGAGTGTCACCCCGTCTCGATCCTCCGGCGAACATCAGCTCCGAAATCACCTCAGTCGGGTTCGTCGAAGTGATTCCTGCGGCACAGTGCTCTCTTGAAGCTGCCCTCGCTCAATCCTCGCTCGTCCAATATCCGGATCCCGGAGCATTGGCCAACTGCCAAACCATCTTGTCACTCGGGTTCGAACGACATCATGACTCCGCCTTCCCGGTATCCTGGATATGCCCTGGCGCTCGCCTACGAGCAGTGGCCCAATCTCATCTGTGAAGCCTGTCGGCAGGGGCAGCACCGACACAAACCTATTTCTCAGGACCACAATTGCCGCAAGAACAAAGTACGCTCCGCTGAGTGATCCTGTCACTGGTACCGCTTGCAACAGCAAGTGTTGGACGCGGGTCTTCGCGTTGCTTCCCTGACCAAAACATGGAAAGAAATCCCTTGCCGAAAGCTTTCTCCTGCATGCTGCACTCAAGTTGCTCCGTCTACTGTCGCCCGTCGGTCACTATCCGAACGACAAGCGCGGCCGTACCGTTTCTTCAGCACTCCGACCCTACCACTGACTGACCAGTCGCTCTCACGGTGACATCCTCCATCCCGGCAGACTGCAGCTGAGTGGTAGCAACAGACGCAACACCCGCCCTCTGCGATGACAGGTGGGGGTATCGCGAAAGTATCAGCCAGCCGCGGGGTAAACGCACGTGTGAGCGAGAATGTGCTGATGCCAGTCACACAATCACACCGTCTTTCCTTTATCTCGTCCATCTAAGATCTTATATCAATCTCGAATATTGGTCCAGCGGCCCACCGTCGTGGCAACCGTGGCGGGAGAATGTGCCGGGCGGTCTTGCCTCTGCCCTGGTCACCGTTACAGCGAATGGCACGCAACAGCCACCGCAAAATGGAGGCCTTGCTAACCACGCGAGCCGAAGCATGGGATGCGTCAATCTGCCGCCCGCTGGATTGATTGGGGCCTATATGCCGCGTGCCTTGCTTTCTGTCTGTCTGTCAAGGACGGGTCCCCCGCCGCTGAGAACTCTAAACGAGACCTGTCAGGAAACTAATTCGGGGTGCTGAAGGTCGAGCGGGTTGATATTGACACCTATATTCGCCGGCAGATCGCTTTAATAACGTCAAGGGCCGACGAGTCTATTCGAGACCCGGCCGGAGTCGACGACATTCGAGCAAATCACACAACTCGTTTCCGGCCGGCGGCGACGGCCTAAGCGGCGCATCCATCCATCTGCACGCGCGCTTTGACCCGGCCCTGCGCTGAACCCGCCTTGTCTCAACGGCCTGCTCATTGCCGGCATCACATATGCAAGGCCAGATGATTGCAGGTATGCTCACCAGAAGCGCTCCACCCTGTGGTAAGTCCTCGTGGTGGGCACAACCTGCATACGCCGTAACAAGAGCCGAAATCAAATAGATGGGGCGCGCTTCTGCGAGTCGACGACGCTGCGAAAGCGGTTTAAGGTTGTCGTGTGTGTTTCCCTAGTGTGATGGATTAGCCGCGAGTTGCACGCTTTTTACGGCTCACCGCTTGTGTGTCTTGCGCCCTTTCCCGGGCACTCAGAGGTCATGCTGGCGGCTGTTGCGGGTCTGCCGTGCATGAGCGATGGCACGCTTGCGTACTGGGACCTTCCGCTTGGGGTGCAATGGTCCTGTCTGGACTCTGCGAAAACGGGGCTGTCGATGATCTTGACCTCATGGGAGAATGACTGGTTCAGATGCCGAGATGTTCGGATGCAAGATGCTGATGGTTGTTTGAGGTCTCGTCGTTGTTTCGAGTTCAAGGCGGGTCTCAGCATCGCGGGACCTCACGATTGGATTTGGCCTCCTGCTCCATTCCAGTTTACTTCAACATGATAGACTCAAAGGGCACTATTGATGTAACTCTTCTCACCGATGGGTTGTACTTCAGTAAGTACGGATAGAACACTTCTCATTCCACGATGCCACGCAAGATGTAGAGACGACAATCGACCGTCAACCTATCACAGCCAAAGACATGACCTCTGTCGTCCTGTACCGTTTCTCGACTATCGGAGTGCTTATTCCTCAAGCCTATCTGCTGTGTCGTTGAAACAACACCGGAATTCGTTGGGTTATGGTGGAAATTGGACATTGATCATCGTGGTGAGCCCAGTCGCCATGCCTGTCATTGCTTTTTGGCTTTTCCAGTTATAGCTTCTGTATGATATGCCCTCTTTAAAGCTGTTTGTTCGCAGCATCGTACGAGCCCGTCATGGAGACGAGTCCGCAGGCTTGTGACTCCAGCGCGAGATGGCAGAAGTCTGGCAGTGGTAGGGGGCAAGACTATGAACCCCAAACACCTACATAAGTTCATGATATGTCAGACAGGAAGAAGCACCGCAATTGTGACGCTCTTCGAGATCACATTGGATTCCGTAGGGCTGTCAGTTGTAATCTCACGTGTCTTTGGCAAACTAACCACATTAAAGTACGCCTTCGGACAGGATTCCAAAAACCTGATGTGTTTTCCATCATCGCTATCTTATTCTCGACCGCATACGCGTCCATGACTGATAGAGCCAAGCGAGTGTGAATTGAGTCTATTCGAACAGGACAGTTCGCCACAGACATCTCCTTGGGCAACCTTTCTTTCTCCGGCTGGCCGTGTCCGTTCCAAAGTTCACGCAACTGGACGCCGTTATTGCTAGACTCTGGTTTGAGTCGGTATTGATCTTTTGTACTGATTACGGCTACCGGCATGACAACCTCAAGCCCTGGATGGATGACCACAAAGGGTTGGCTATACTCTCGGCACTCGACTAATAGGATACAGAGAATGTCCTATCGCTGTCCTTTCTATTTAAACCAGTCAGGAGCCTGTGTCTTTGCTGTAAGCCGGGAATCATGTAACAGGACTCTCCAATTCCGTTAAGGGCTATCGAGCAGGTCAATATCAGGCACTGTGACCAAGAACCCTGTGGCAACTGAGCATGCTGACGCCGAACCTTTGTTTAGTTGGCTCTATCCTGAGGCTTTTCCGCGTCCTTATACGGGCGAATAGCCTGCCACGGATCACCGTCTAGCCGGTCTGATACTAATCAAAGGAGCTTCCAGCCCTCAGGCGTCCTGTTCAACAATTCACGGCGCGGATCAAGGTCTAAACTCTACAGGCGAGAAGAGCGAGATATGGTTATATTGGTGTGAAGTCTCAAGGGGGGGTACTAGCGGCCCTTTGCTTCCATTTATATTGGTTCAGGGGGGGCTAATTCGCCTCATATCTCCAGGCACGAGTTGTATCTGCATAGAGGACCCGATTCAACAGATCGGCCCCAGATTCTCCTACCAGGCAATGAGCTGGTAATTGAGTAAATAATCGTGGCTAGCGTCGTGAATGTTCCAGCTGTTCGGGAAGGCATGATGTTGGCCAAAGAGCCGGTATGAGAGATCTGAGGCGTCTGTTGAAGGTTTGATTGACTTAGGACCTACATACCGGTAGACTTTCCTCCTGGCACGAGACTCAATGCTTCTGTCCGCCGTCTTCTCTCCCCTCGTATACGAAAGTGTACATCGCGTTAGGGCCTTTGCCTACGTGCTGTCTTTATAATAGACTGTGCTAATCTTCTCAGCCAGATTGTCGGTACTTTATCGCCCGCTATTCTCATCTCGTAGGCAGCTACGCCGAAAAAATGGCATTACACGAACTGGATGCTGACTCGTCGATATCTCATGTGTTTTTGCAGGAAGTAAGTGCTTTTCCCACCATTCCAAACTTCTACGGGGATAACTGTCTGAACTGGACTACTATTCGATAGGGGCCTTCGACACGCACTGGTAGTGTTCTTGAAAGAGGGCCCCGACCTTGACTTTCTGGTATGGGAGAGACACTATGAGTGTACATGATCCAACTGGTTTTAGATTCATTTGCGAGAAGAATAAGACCCAGAGCATAATGAGGGACCCGGAACGTCATACAACTGACGATGACAATTAGTTCACTATGTCATCTTCCTCGTTCAGCGGGGTTTGGCCATCCTTGAAAAACGACACAACCATAGCGATTTTGCTTTGGTTGAGGTTTCTGCTCATTGTAAAAATCAGGTAATTGTATGCCTAAAACGACTTGTTTCTTGTCTTGATACCTGAGCCACCACGATAGTAGTTCTGAGTATCATTGCTTCCAAGCCTGAGGCTCAAGACCATCTCTTCAACCAACTGCAGCATCCCATGTGGCCTGTAGCATGATGAACAGGCGGCCTCACGTCAAAGACACGTCATGGTTCGTAACTTGACATGATGAGACAAGACGACGGCGCTCTATCCTGTCTATAAACTTTGGAGCTATGAATAAAACAATGCTTACTAAGGGGCACTCTTATGTCCAACTTCAAAGCGCCACGTTCAATCCTTTTCATCGCTCCCCCTTTCTCCTTCCTTCACAGCAATTCTGGGTGTGCTATAATGCGTGCAGTTAGTCTATGAAAACAGAATGGAGATAGGGATGTTTACCGGGTAAAGTAGCACCGTGGAAGCGCAGTCGAAATGTAGCCTCGATGGTACTTCAACACCACTTCATTCAATGGCACAGACAGGTATGACTCCTCAATAGTCATCCCTCTTAAACGCAGGGGAGAGTTAGTATGGGTAAACATCGACGACATCACAAACTGAGATACGCAGAATGCCTGATTCACGGTGCTCCCTTGATTGGGAGCTTCGTCTTTGAAACTGGAAACATTAGGGTTCTTTTCCGCCCTCTCTATTTCTGTGTTTCTACTCTAACTGATAAACAACGAAACAGCCCTTTTACTGCGCGTCCAAAGCGTTGGAGGAAATGGCCGAAGAAAGTTTTGCGGCCAGACTGTCCAGCATGTTGATACCTTCCGATGCAGCCTCGATCTTCGATTCTTCGATTGACTCGAGGATAGTCTTGATACCCAGTCCAACCTTGTCTGACCTGGTATCGTTTTGCAGGTTGGAAATGAGTTGCTGGATGTCGCTCGAGTGGAACTTGCGAGTTTGTCCCATCACTTGTGCGAGCTCGCGGACGTCAGAGATGGCAGGTACAGGCACTTGACGACGGAAGTGCTTCAGGATACCCAAGTTTCCAAGGACGAAACGCTCCGACGTGGTGACCATAACGAGAATACGACGCCCCTTTGGTGGCTGAGTCTGGATCAGGGAGATGATTCGGTCCAAAATGGAGTTGGAGAAACGAGGTCCAATGGGGTTCCACTCGATCAACTGCTCAAAGTTGTCTAGAATGACGATACTCTTTTCTGACTTGTAAGCGTCCGTGAAAACCTTGGTCAGGTAATCCTTCTTTCCAAACTCGTCTCGGTACGCGGTCAAATGCTGGGGAGAAACCAGCTTGACGAAGGGGAAGTCCGACATCGAGGCAGTGTGGGCTGCCAACGCAGTCTTTCCTGACTCGGGAGGACCGTGGAGAAGTACTGGTATCCTTGTGAGGACGTCTGACTCCTTGACGGTATCGATATAGCCCTTGATGGTGCGAATAATTGCCGGAATATTTTCGTTGTAGTGGAGAATGCCCATGGCCAAAGCATTAGACAGCTCATCCTCAGAAACGCCGTACGCAGGCCTCACTTCCGTCAAGGCGTTTTCGAAGTCTCCCATGGTAATCTTCATTGATGCGACGTCTCCCTTCATCTTGGCGCTGTTGCCGACTTCAGTGTGTCGGTTGAAGGCGAACGACGTCGCAGCCTTTACGACACCAGAAATCTCGGCACCAGAGTAGTTCTTTGTTTGGGCCGCGAGGGAATCGAGATTGACGTTGGGGTCCATAATGTTGTTGTCGCGCATCTTTGCTGTGTGAATCATGAAAATCTCCTTGCGGCCCTCCTCATTCGGCAAGCTGATCTCGAGCTGAACCTCCAGACGACCCGGACGCAGAAGAGCCTCGTCGATCATGTCCTTTCTGTTGGTCATACCGATGAGGAGAATGTTGTTAAGCTGGTCCACACCGTCGAGCTTGGTAAGAAGCTGGTTAACCACACTGTCACCAACGCCAGTGCCGCCTCCAGCGCCGGAACCTCTCTGTTTGCAGACAGCGTCCAACTCGTCGAAGATAATGATGTGAAGTCCACTCTGGTCACCCTTCTCCTTGTACTCCTTCTCGGCATCCGCAAACATCTTTCGGATGTTTTCTTCAGACTGACCGACTGTACTGTAGTCAGCACCATGATCAAACCACCAGAGTCAATCAAAACTCACCAAACTTGTTGAGAACTTCGGGACCGTTGATAATCTTTGGCTCGCGGGCGTTTAGCATCTTGCCGATTTGTCTGGCAATAAGCGTCTTTCCCGTTCCCGGGGGACCATACAGCAGGATACCCTTGACGTGCTGAATGCCAAGCTTCTGGACAAGAGCCGGAGGGAAGACGCGCGAAGCAAAAGCTCTGCGGAAAATGGTGGAGAACTCGTCATGAAGACCACCGATACCCATATCCTCAAACTTGAAATCGGGGGAGATGATGGGCTCGGAATGCTGCTGGTGATCGGCAACCTCGAGCTTCATGGGAGAGTTGGAGTCCTTGAAGAGGCTCATCATGGTCTCCTGGGTGATGATTCCGCGAGCTCGGGGGTCGCTCGTGGTAATTGGGGCGTCGGCCTTGCTGCGGCCAGGCAGGGTAACGGACTTGACGGTCATCATGATCTTCCGGGACTCGATGTCTGCAAGGAAGGGCTGTCCCGGGGCCACAATAAAGCTGATGAACTGTTGGTAGACCAGGTTCTGGATGCGCTGGTAGTTGAACATGTAGTTGGGGTCGATCTTGGCAGAGGCCCAGGACAGCTCAAGGTCCATGGCCAGCAAGGGCGGAACACCTCGCTGGGCGGCATTGAAGGGTTCGGCGTCGAAACGGTCGGTGAGAGCGATCTTCAGCCACTGCCTCTGGTGGTTGGAAAGACAAACGGCGCCAGACTCGATGTCGGGTCGGGGCCAGGCTCTGACAACGTACTCGGAGACGGATCGTCGGATGGGATCTTGGACGCGGAGGACTACGTCGCATTCGGCGACTTCTTTGCGGGGAGCAAAGTCTCTGTAGCTGACTCCGACGCTGTGGTTCCGGCAAACGTTAGTAGGGCCACCAAAGACAGAAGAGGCTTCCCATGTACTCACACATTGGCGTAGATGAGCTCCTGCTCAGCTACCTTCTTCGGCACGAACGCCATGCTTCGAGCTGGCGGTGTCGATACTGGTGTGGGTGTGAGGGAAGGGTTGTCTGCTTGTTTTCTCGTCCTTCGTTGCCCGCGCAGTCGGAAGTCGTCAACGAAACGAACGAACGGGTGTTGTTATAGGATTGTCGAAGGATGTTGAGGTGTAGGAGTGGCGGAGTGCTTTATGTCCATCTGGTCCAGGTCCAACTTCGAACAGACGTCAGACACCCCCCCGGAAGGAGGGCCAATGACAGTCGCCGATGCGACGGGTCTGACCAATGGGAAGGCGGGAATCATGGCTTCTTTGGAGAAAGGGTGGGGCCTCATGGAGGGGTCGGTTGGGTAAGGTGAGAGATCTGTCTCTGGAAGGTACCTGCTGAAGGTTACGTGTACTGTGGCTGACTTCTGGTTTGTAGATGTGTTCAGTTTGCCTTCAAACACGTACTTCTTTCAATCGTGCTGCCTACTGAGAACATGTCGAACATATCCATTTGAGTTCCCTTGACGGTCTCTTTTTGCAGTGGTGGAACGTGTCCTCAGCGCACTGGAAAAGCTGGAACACGCGCATGTCACAGCGGTGTCTTCAGCTGGGCTGATGGGGGACGAGACGAAGCTTGAGTGGGGCAGCCGCAGCTGTGTCCCGTCCTGCAGCTGAATAACCCCACCAAGGCACTCAGGGACTGCCTGACTAATGCCGCCCAGCGCGCTAAGCCTGTCCTCTGTTACGCTGATCTGCCTGGACGTCACTGGAACGCCGTAGACAGCTTTGATTGATTCAATCTTCACAGCTGCACCATGTCATCTCATCGGACATAGGAAATATTTAATCATGCCTCTGTAAGCCGGCACATATCTCTCAAACCGATCGTATAAGCTAACTCTTTCTAGCCATTTGCTGGGTAAAAAGTCCTGGAACGTCTACAATGCAGACAACATCGCCCGCGTCCGTCGCGATGAGGCCGCCGCAAAGGCCAAGGAGGAGGCTGAGGAGCAGCGCATGCAGGAGATCGATGCTGAGCGCCGTCTAGCTATCCTCCGCGGCGAGGTGCCACCCCCGTTGCCACCGGCTGAGGCCGATGACTCGGAGCCCAGAGCCAGAGACCGCGACGGGGAAGGCCGTCCCAGAGAGCGGAAGAAGCGCAAGCGCGCTGGTGAAGACGACACCGACTTCGAGTTACGCGTCGCGAAAGAGCGCTCCGATGTGGTGCAGGCAGCCAATGACACGCTGCGTAAGTCGATGAGCTCCGCGCCCATCGTCGACCGCATGGGGCACATTGACCTATTTGGTGAGGAGCGCAAGCAGGGCCGGCACCTCAAGAACGAAGAGGCCGAGAAGGAGGCCGCAAGGAAGAAGAAGGAGTTCGAGGACCAGTACACCATGCGCTTCTCCAATGCGGCAGGTAAGGACGGCCTGGGAGCTGCCTGGTACGCGAACTCTGGGTCGAGAGCGGAGCTCGCCGAGTCGGAACCACCAGGTAAAGATGCCTTTGGAAACGAGGACCCAGGGCGGAAGAAGCGGGATGCCGATAGGATCGTAGCTAGTGACCCACTGGCGATGATGAAAAGGGGTGCCGCCAAGGTCCGAGAGGTGAAGAAGGAGAGGCAGAAAGTCGAGGCCGAGCGGCAAAGGGATCTCGAACAGCTTCGTAGGGAGGAGAAGCGAAAGGAGAGGCACGAAAGGGAAAAGAGGGATCACAGAAGGCGCTCGGAGCGACAGGAGCGTGAGAGTAGCAGGGACGACAAGGAACATCGTCATCGCGACAGGGAAGACCGTGACCGACATCACGGCAGGGAAAATGGCGACAGTGAACACCGTCAACGCGACCATCACAGATCCACGGGCGACCGCGACAAGCATCGTGGTGATGATCGTCACCGAGATGAGAGGAGCAGCAGACATGGCGAAGAAGGGAAAGGGCGCGAAAAGTCTCATCACAGAGATAGAAGCCGCGATGAGAGGGGCCACTCAAGACACAGGGAGCGACATGAGAAGGATTCAGCCTCCAGACGCCGTGACGACGGTCGAAGAAGAGACGATTCGACGGCAGGGGATGACAGGTCGAGAGATTACAAGAAACGAAGTGACGACTGAAGACGATACCGGCGTTGCTCGAAACTATTTCAATAACCTGTACACTGAAGCGAATTTATATACCCAGCACCAATCTCTATCGTTCAAGAGCAGCATCAGATTTGCCCAAGAAACATCATTCTTTGCAAAATTCAGGCCGTCTTGCAAAGCTTGCCGCTGTCGAGGTCGTACTTCCACGCGTCGCTCCCAACTCCAGCCAAAACGAAAAGGCTCTCCGTCGGATCATACTTGCGCTTGACCTCAAGAAGACGATCATAGCTTTCGCCGTAAAAGTCTTCTTTGAACTGACTATTGAACGCGTTGGCTTCGTTCATATAAGACCCCGAACCAGGCGCCCACTCCCTCCAAATAGGCTCCTTGGTCTCCTCCAACCACTTGGCCGCAACATCGAGCGCCTCCTGTGGCGAAGCGTTAGTGGTGTCAATTGACGCTCCATAACTCATCATGTGGATGTAGGTCGATCGCCACACGGGGTTCACGGCGCCGCGCATCTTCTCCGGCACGTTGCGCGGCCCGGAGCCACCCTGGAGCCCGATGACCATCATGCCTCCGCCCGTTGGGTTCTGAGTCTGCATAACCTGCTTCAAGTACGAGACCAAGGTGGGCTGCTCGATATCACTAAGGTGTTTGCGGCCCAGGAGGCGGCTGGTCATCAAGCTATAGGCTCCCGCCGCGCTGGACGCTCCGTTGACGGATTCGAAGAGGCTGATGAAGTCAGGCTGCACAGAGGGCTCGCCCAGCGTGACTGAGACGGAGCCATTGCCTCCTCCTGCAGCGAGCATACGGTCTCTGACGGGTTCTAGGAGTGAAGTCATCTTCTCGGCGGTGGTGTTGTACGCGAAGAATCCCAGCGAGCCCGAGACCTTATGCGTGACATTGGCGGCGAGCGAAGCGTTTGTCAGGGCATCGGTACTGAAGAGTGCGGACCCGGTCAAGCCCGCATCCATCAGATCAGGGATGCTCGCTAGGAGGACCGCGAAACTGCGCCAGGTCGCTTCCTTGGCGGCAGTGTCGTTCTTATCTGTGGATAGAGCGATGCTGAGGGAAACGACGTTGCCGGGAGGAGTGTGAGCCTTGAGGACGTACTCCGTAACGAGACCGTACTGACCGCCTCCGCCTCCGCGGACGGCGAATAGGAGGTCCTGGTTCTGGGCGTCGTTGGCAACGAGAATCTGACCCTCTGTTGTAACCACACGAGCCTGCAGAATCTGGTCCGCCGCGAGTCCGAAGGTGCTGGAAAGGGGCCCGTGTCCGCCTCCTTGGATCTGGCCTCCCGTTCCTACGGACTCGACGGTGCCACCGACGAGAACCTTGTCGTACTTTGCCGCGCCGCGAGTGGCGGAACCCCAATTATTACCAGCGCCAACGATCATGGCGACTTCGGTAGTGTTGTCGGCGGGGTTTATCCACTCGGGTTGGAACTCGAGCTTGTTGAAGTTGGGAGTCCAGATAGACAGCGAGTAGGCGCCAGAAGAGCTATTCGTATCGTCAATAATAGTCTGCTAGAGATCAGGAGAGAGAGACGTACCGTCCGTTGAGGTCGTGGCCGGTTCCCTTGATCACGATGCGAATGTTCCGCTTGCTAGCCCAGCTCATGGCAGCCGCGACTTGCTCCTCCGTGGTGCCATTCACAACGTACTCTGGCAGACCACCCAGCTCGCAACCTTGGGCGGCTGAGTACCCCGTCGCCCCAGGAGGAAGACACGAGTTGTTGGCGTAAAGGGGGTAATCGATTGATTCGGGGAAGGCGGCGTGGAAATCAGAGCTCGCCCACCCCTTTTCGACATCTTCGCATGCCTCCGAGGAACCAAAGGGATTCCCAGAGTAACAGGAAGAAGCAACCGGGATAGTCTTGATGAGGGCACCGCTGATGGTGGTGTTCAGAGCAGCCCATTCGGCGTTGGACGGCCAAGCGGCATCCAACGGCGTGACCTTGCAGGATTGCTGCGCAGAAACACCGCCAACGGCAGACAAGAGTGTAAAGAACGAAACTACGGCAGAGCTTGCCATGGTTAATCTATCCCAAAGAAGTAAGGAGCGTGTGCTGTGCCTCTGTAAGGTAGTTCATGATTTCTAGTGACACATTTTATATTCCTAGACCTCGTCCGTTCCTGCACTGAATATTCGTATTCGAACCCGACGACTCTCGTTCGCTTAGCAATGAGGCTCAGCGGCTCTGGGGTAATAATCTCATGCCGCCCCTCAGCTCAATCTCGTGCTCGATTCACAACACCGGGGTGACGTTTGCTGGGCTATGCTATAAACAATGGGGAAGCATGCCGAGGCTCCCTTTGGACCGGCATCGGTCTTTAAGTCACTAGGTAACAACACCAAGAGACTCGTATAAAAAATTCCAGGCGACCAAAACGGAAGATTCTCCGTAAGTCTTTGGTTGAGTCCATCCGGGCGAGGGTCATCCGTAGTTGGGGTCCGTTCGGCAATGTCCCGGCAGATGCGAGCCACTCAACCATCCACCGCGCCAGCCATCTGCAGGAACCCTTGACTAAGGTATGGATCTTTTCGAGACGACCATGCTTTTCGCAATGACATGAATAAAAAAGAGAGAGGCAAAAGGCTGAGGCTAAGCAGGGGCGGTGGGGACGAGACCGTCATCAGATACGACGAATATTCGTATTCAATACGAAAATTATGCGATTGGTTGGACTGCGCGAGTCGGAAGCCCCTGTTGACGACTTACACGTTCTCAGACGGCTGAAGACTCTTGCGATTGATTTTTCTTTACTTGTCCTTCTACTCCTTCTTCTCCATCTTCTCCTTCTCCTCAGATTCAAAAACCTTCTTCTGGAAGGACTACCGAGGCCTAGCTCATCCTGCATCCACCTCCAGTCTCCTCCCCTGAAATCAACTCCCACATCCCCCACCAATACCACTACATCTTTTGCCATCCAACCACACAAAGTTCTTCCAAACAACAAAAAATCATGATCAGAGACTACTGGGACCTTGCAGGCCCCTTTGGCCTCGCAGTCCGCGCAACGCTCCGAATCCTCCAATTCATCCTCTCCATCGTCATCATCGGCCTCTACGCCGCGACCCTCGCCTCTTGGGATCAGTCCCCGGAAATCGGTCGCACGGATTGGATCTTTGCCCTCGTCCCGGCAGTCCTGTCGATTCTGACCTGCGCGTATCACGTTATTGCGACAGTCACTCACGCAGTCTGGTGCGTCTGGGACTTTGTCCTCGCCGTCCTCTGGGCCGCACTCGCCGGCGTTTCGGCCTCGGACGTCATAACAACAGGAGAAGGAAAAGAAGTCACCGGCGGAGCGAAATCAAGATTGACAGCGGGATCGTGGATCGCGGGCGTGCTTATGGTGTTGTACCTCTTCAACGCTGTTCACGGCTGCGCCTGGTGCTGCGCGTCTAGGAAGTTTACCAGGACAGTGCCGGAGAGGAACAAGACCAACTCGGAGGAGCTTCAGAGCAGAGACTCTCAGAATGCTTGAGATTTGAATCATCATTGTAATACTAGATCCTGGAGTTTGGGACAGACTTTAGCCAGAAACGAGCGGAAGATAGACTCGGGCACCACGCAGCAGTAATAGATAGACTATGAAAAGGGGCGACTTCTTGAGTTCCCTAATACAATCATAATCGAAATTTTTCCAACAGCACAGTTGTGAATAGGGGCATTTTCGGGTGTTTGGAGGCACGGAGCGAAAATTTTCACGCCTCTATTCTGTCCGGGCAAACACAGCGACTCCAAACAGGCAACCCGCTCAACAAGTGGGACACTTCTGGCAGAGCCACCACCTCAGCCTGGCAGGGTTGGGCCAACCAGACTCCACGGGCATCCCGAGCACCCCAGGGCTGCGTACTCAAGCGCGGATCTCGTATTTGTGACAGCCGCAGGCTAAGTAGAGCCGGCTTCCCTGCTCGTCAGGGCAGGGCGGCAGCTGTGTCGGCCCCTCTGTGGGCTGGCATGTCACCGTATGCTTAAGTATGGACATTGCCGCTGTCCTCCCACCCTCCATCCCTTCTCTGCCCTGGCAAACCTTCTCATACCAATCTCACACGTGATAGCAGCTATGGGCAACCAAGACAGAGAAACATTTGACTCTTCCCGGGCATCAAAGGCTTCAGCCTACGGCCTGGAGGACCTCTACATCGAAGGTAACGCTCATGACCCAGCCTGACCTTCTCCAAAAGAAAAACTAATCATCCAGATGAACCCTCAACATCCCAACCACCCCAAACACCACCCGCCTACACCCCGGAATACACCCCTCAAAAAATGTTTCCAATGCCCTTGAACATCGTGATCCAAGTGGTAGGATCCCGCGGCGACGTCCAGCCCTTCCTCGCTCTCGCCGCCACCCTCCTCAAATCAGGCCACCGCGTCCGCATCGCAACGCACCCCCAATTCTCCTCCTTCGTACTCGCCAACCCGAACCTCGAATTCTTCCCCGTGGGCGGCGACCCCGCCGACCTGATGGCCTATATGGTCGAGTCCCCTTCTCTGATCCCGAAAGTGTCCCAGATCCGCGCCGGCATCATCCAGCGGAAGCGCGACATGTACACCGAGATGCTCGACGGCTTCTGGCGCTCCTGCGTCCACCCGGACCCGCTGACCAACGTGCCCTTCGTGGCCGACGCCATCATCGCCAACCCGCCGAGCTTCGCGCATGTGCATTGTGCCCAGGCGCTCGGAATCCCGGTGCACCTGATGTTTACGATGCCGTGGAGCAGCACCAAGGCGTTTCCGCACCCGCTGGCGAACGTGGGGTACTCGAAGGAGGATAAGAAGAGCACAAACTTTGCGTCGTACGCTGCTGTGGAGTTCTTGACGTGGCAGGGGTGGGTTTGCGTGGCTTTCGATTATGTTCTGGCCGCTGACCATGGATAGATTGGGAGATTTGGTCAACGCGTGGAGAGTTGCATCACTAGGCTTGGAGCCGGTCCCCTCGACAGAAGGCCATCGCCTGCTGGAGGTTCTGCAAGTTCCGTTCACCTATTGCTGGTCGCCATCACTTGTTCCGAAACCCAGCGATTGGGGTTCGCACATAGGTTTGTCTGCCTTAGCTCGTACTGCCACTCAACTAACCGTCGCATAGACCTCAGTGGCTTCTTTTTTCGAGATCCGGCACCGTATACACCAGACACAGACCTCGAAGCCTTCCTAAGGGCTGGTCCCCCGCCTATATACGTCGGATTCGGCAGCATCGTTGTTGGGGGAATTGAGGGCCTGATGACCATGGTTCTCAGCGCTATCAAGGCGACTGGCGTCAGAGCCATCATTTCGCGTGGATGGAGTAACTTGACGGGAGAAGAGTCTTCAGACGTGTTTTATGTGGGTGACTGTCCGCACGACTGGCTCTTCCAGCAAGTTGCGGCGGTGGTTCATCACGGAGGGGCTGGCACCACAGCATGCGGTTTGCGATACGGGAAGCCGACGACCATCGTGCCGTTTTTTGGAGAGTGAGTAAGCCCTTGCTGAGATGACAACATCTAGACTGACATCTGAATCACAGTCAACCGTTCTGGGGCGCCGTCATAGCCAAGGCTGGCGCCGGCCCAGATCCGATTCCTTACCGTTCCCTCACCTCGCAGAAACTCATTCACGCGATTCAATACTGTCTATCCCCAGACGCCGTGACGGCCGCAAGGCAGCTCGCCGAGTCCATGGAGAAAGAGAACGGCGTGCAATCTGCAGTCGATTCGTTTCACAAGCACCTACCGCAGCCAAAGATGCAGTGCGACTTCTTCCCCGACCAGCCTGCGGCCCTCATGTACGGCAGGGGGAAGAAGCAGGTCAAGATGTGCCGGCCGGTTGCTTCGATCTTGGTGAAGAATGGCAAGGTGGAGAGGAAGCAGCTCAAGTCGTGAGCATCGGCAATCCCCTTTTTGCAAGTTCTCTGCTGATATTTTCGGACCAGATACCGGTCGAAACCGACGAATATCGAGAACCAGAGATGGGACCCCCTGACGGCACTATCCGCGGCTTCAATCTCGACGATAGTCAAGATGGCCGGCGCCACGGCAGACATCATTGTCAAGCCGTTTGAAGAATACAAGCGAGGCAGCGAGTCTAATGATAAGCTGGCGGTGCCTGGTCGACCGTCGAACGGCGAGCTGGACAAAAAGGCCGAAGCCGATGCCGAAAATATTCGCAGACACAGTCAAGCACCGGCGTTCGCGATGCTTCCTCTGCCAGGCGTAGGCGTTCCAGAGGGCGGAGACCTCAAACCCATGAGTCGCCCGGCATCATCCTCATCTCGAGGAGACGAGTCCTCCAGCAAGCCGGGGGCCATGGCAGTAGCAGCAGCGAACGGTGTTGGAAAGCTCGCGGGCAATGCGACGAAGGGTCTATTCGTGGACATCCCGCTCGCCGTCACGGAGGGTCTCAGAAATGTCCCAAACCTTTACGGAGATACCGTGAAGAAGCATGACGCTGTGGAGGACTTTCGCAGCGGGGTGTCCGTCGCCGGCAAGACCTTCTGTCACGACATGAAGGGCGGGTTTACGGACATCTTCGTGCACACTTACACTGGCAAAAAGGAGCAGGGCGCAGCCGGAGCCGTCAAGGGGTTGGGCAAGGGCGTCGTGAGCCTTGTCACGAAGAGCACGGCAGCCACGTTCGGCCTCGTGACCTACCCTGCTCAGGGGATTTACCGAAGCATATGGTCTGCCACGAACGACAAGACGCGAAGAAGCATTGAGGACGAGAAGCTACTGGAAGGTGATTGGATGGTGTCGATGAGCCCAACGTGGAAAATGGACCATGCCGCCATTGTCGAGGACTTTGACGGTCTACGTGGGGCGAGAGGCGGGTAATGTGTGTCCTGTCTGCCTTGTTGGTATTAGAAGGCTTCTCTTTCTTGGTAGCATCGGCGCTGGTAGGATTCAGGGGCACTGCAGAATGCAGCGCTAGGTTATCAGCAACTCAATTGCGATATTCTCCGACAACGTCATCATCATTCGAGCTTAGCTCCATATTTAATGCATTTCAGCGTTTCCAGAAAGATTCCTAGAAGGGTGAAACCCTTCTTATTTGGAACTTTGGTCGTGGCTTAGCCTAGTGATCCCCACGATCTGTGTGAGCGGCTCGGCCGAGATGGTGGAACGCGAGCCGGCAGGGTTGCGAGGGAACGTCAGTTGGAAGGCGCTGGTATTGGCCGCGGTCGTGGCCGTGGCCGTGTAAAAGATCCATGTGAGAGTGAGGATCTGCAGTGCCTGATGGAGATGGTGGAACTCCAGGCTTCAACGAGGTCCAGGATGACGGTGTTGTGTGGTTGGATGCGGAGGGGCGCAGGGGTGGCGGAACTGGAAGGCTTCTGGAAGGATTCGACGAGTGGGTTCCATGTGCTTGGCATCCGCTGCATCAGCTGATTGGAATTTGATGCGAAGAGAGCTCTCCCACGGGTACCTGTTCTTTTCGAGAGGGAAAGAACTCTAGAATTCTTCGAAAAGGTAATTCATTGCCACAGTGTCTGTAAAATTTGAGCCACGTGTCGACTGCGAAACTCAGAATGCCGTTTCGTGGACATCTTCAGTGACTGAAGCGGAGCCATGTGACCAAAACCCGGGGAGAACGTGTTGAGAACAGCATAACATAGATTAAGCCAGAATTGCATTTGGCACCATGTGGCACTCCTGATCGCCCTGGTGATCAGCCGGGATGTAGAATTGAGGCCCTTGAGAGATGATGTCAACAGCTGTTTGGTGTTGGAGATTGTGATTGTCAAAGACAAAAAGCCCTCTCCGAGGTCTGTCGGGCGCAAATATTGGCAGGCAGTGTCGGGTCACGCGTGTTGGCGTGCCGGCGAGACGCTACAGCCACATTCGGCAGTGTGGAGACCGGGCGCCGGCGAGCATTGGCCGACCCGGAGGCTGGTGGTCTCAATGGTGTTGCCTAAGAAGCTGGGCGCCGCAGCGGTCGGTAAGTAAAGCGGGGCGAGTAAGCGAGCCAAAAGACTTTGGAATTTGGCACAGTTGACGCTGGGAGCGTGGGAGCGAGTGTGAGGCGGATGCGGTCGGGAGGAGGCGCATTGCAGTAGTGAGGCTTTGGCGGATTGACAGTGAAGTCATCCATGCCGGTAGTCCTCGGAGTTGCGAGAAAGATTGACCATGGCATGGCATCTGGGCAGCCGAGAACGGCGCGGGGTTTGTCACGATGCCTTTGGAGCCGGGACGGAGCAAATGATGGCCGTAGTGTGGCATTCATTCTCGGCGTGTGGTTCCATGATATCATCCGATTTTGCCGTGCCCTCCCTTGGCGGAACTCGGCACCGAAAAGCAATGGTGATTGGCGGGTCGCATCGAGGAGGCGACAGGGTTCCGAATGTCATGACACAGAGATGAATGTTTTGTGAAACGTTTCCCGTTCGCAAAAGATGCTCTCCGATGATTGCGCAAATTGAGTAGAGACCCCTGGCAGGTACGTGGAGTCGAGATGGGATGGCGTTTGGATGTGGAGAGGCATGTCTGTCTGTTCCTCCCTGGCGGGTGACTGGCTCGCACGGGTTGTTGTGTAGCCAAGGCTGATTCGGATGGAATAAGCTAAAGTACCTCGCATTCGTTGTGATTTTGGTCGTCGACGGGGTCGTCGGGGTCGTGGTTGTCTAGGCAGCGAAGGATGAGCAGGGCTGAGCAGAAAATTGCCTCGCTCAAGATAATCGTGGCATGTGCCTTTTTCTTCTTTTTCCCACTAAGCCAACCAACACATTGGCCACAGCTAGGCGACCGTATTTCGTGATGGGCGCCACGGGCAGCTAAAGGTTGAAGGCAAATCTGCTCGGGTTGATCGGGCGCAGTGCTCGGTCTGCGGAAGAGACGAGCCGGAAGACACTGTCATTGATCAGTAAGACGGTCGATTGATGATTGGCGGCGGCACCAAAGTCAAGCCGTTGTATCGTCGTGATAAGGTATCGTCAATTTTGAGGCCCTTCCCCTCATGTCCGTGCCGAGTGGATGGCCTGCAGTGCGCAATGAAGCATCGCGGCTTCCCCAGAGCAAGGGGCAGCACGGGCCAGTCGCCCTACAGAAGTGAGAACTTCGGTGTTGGAATGGATTCGCAAAGTCTGACTCTGGTCGCAGTCGCAGGCATCGCTGACATCGCGGGCTGTGTCTTGGATTTGGATGCTCACCTTGCTGATTCTCTCCACTGTCGGGCACTTTGGGGGTGGGCTCTGTAGCTCCCGGGCCTGCACCGTGGTCTCACAGTTCACTTGGTGGAATGAGCCCCGCAAGGTTAACGAGGGAGGTCCCACCCCAGGCCAACAGCACTAAGGTGCCTAGGTAGGTAACGTCTAGCTGGTATCCCTGCCAAACACACCACCTGCACGAGACCCCTGCTCCACTTTTGCCGGTTCCTTCTCCCTCCTTCCTCGCGCGCAGATGCAGCTGCCCATCAGCCTATCACCAGTGGCAATCGACGCTCAGTGTGACCAAAAAGACCAATGAGAACGATACTGGCGCAGTACGTACCGGCATTGCCTGTGGAAAAGGTAAGCTATCCACACCCAAGAGGCAGCAGGCCCAAGACCCAAGAGACCAAAAGCTCCTGGGCGCAAACACAGCCCTCGTCCGCCCGATACCTTACCTTACCTTACCTTGAGGTGACACTCAAACCCCGGCACACGTTTCCCCATCTATGATCCTCCATTGTCACTCTCGCCCTAGTCGTGCCGTCTTCCATCCTCGAGACATCTGTTCCTCTGCCGTGACACATCTGCTACTTAAGACTCCCGTCCCCGTCTTCCCACATCCTTAAATCACTCCACACTCAATGGTTCAACGCTCCGATTCAATCCACGAAGCTTCCGACACCTCTCATCACAACCAAGCTTCATCATCTGATAACAACTCCGCACGCCGTCTGCTACAAGCAACCACTTCGTCCACCCGATCGCATTCCCCCGCCACAATGAGCGCTCCCACGCACAACCCCGAGCAGCACGAGAGCTCCTCCACCGGCAAGGGCCGCGCTCCCGACTACCAGGAACGCCATGGAGACACCACCAACGGCGGCAACAATGGCAACGTTGGATTCAAGGCCCACGGCGGCATGACCGTTCAACCTCCCACCAAGGAGGACCTCCAGCGCAGCTATGCCAGAATCGTCGAAAACGACGCCAACCCCAAGGGCTGGTACGGCACCATGAGTAAGCACCGCCCTCGTCGTCCAAATCTTTGCGCCTCATGCTAACAATCATTCAGTCAACGCTGTTGGTTCCTGCATCGGTACCATGGGAGCTATCCCCTGCTGCGTCGTCTGCCCGAACCCCTACAAGAACGTCCAGCAGGGTAACGTTGGTCTCGTTACCAAGTTTGGCAAGTTCTACAAGGCCGTCGACCCTGGTCTTGTCAAGGTCAACCCTCTCAGCGAGAAGCTCATCCAGGTCGATGTCAAGATTCAGACTGCCGAAGTCCCTCAGCAAACCTGTATGACCAAGGACAACGTCACCCTCCACCTGACCTCAGTCATCTACTACCACATTGTCGCTCCGCACCGAGCAGCCTTCGGCATCTCCAACGTCCGCCAGGCTCTGATGGAGCGCACCCAGACCACCCTTCGCCACGTCGTCGGTGCCCGCATCCTGCAGGATGTCATCGAGCGCCGCGAGGAGATTGCCCAGTCTATCGGAGAGATCATCGAGGATGTTGCTGCCGGGTGGGGTGTGCAGGTTGAGAGCATGCTTATCAAGGACATCATTTTCAGCCAGGAGTTGCAGGAATCGCTCTCCATGGCCGCCCAGAGCAAGCGTATTGGTGAGAGTAAGATCATTGCCGCCAAGGCCGAGGTAAGCTTCAGTCGAGAACCCTTTCCGCAACCCCGAACGTCATTAACACATCCTGCAGGTTGAATCCGCCAAGCTTATGCGCCAGGCCGCCGACATTCTGTCGTCCGCACCTGCCATGCAAATCCGCTACCTCGAGGCCATGCAGGCGATGGCCAAGTCTGCCAACAGCAAGGTCATTTTCCTGCCTGCTGCGAACCAGACCATGCCAGACATCCAGCAGGCCCTCGCCAAGAACACCACCGGCGAGTCGAGTGGCCATGGCGGTGACGCCAGCTACAATGACTTTGGAGGTCAGGACTCCGGCTTCCAGCAAGCCATCAACTCTCGTGTCATCGAAAACATTTGAGTTTGCCCCAGGTGCTGACTTGAGGTCGTCGTGTGTGGAACAGCTTGGTCCCATTGATTAAGCCGGCCCCTTTTCGGCTTCTGCGATGACACTCAACTACGGTGTCGACGACATGCTTTCTTGCGCTTTGACGTTTTCGACCCGATTGCTTTTGCTTTCCCAATACCCCTGCTTTCACGACATATACAACCCACAAAATCACACAAAAATACACGATGTACTTTTACGAAATTGGATGGCGGGGAGGACGTATGGCCTGTTCAGGAGACGATACCCAAGATCGGCATGACCAGGTTGGACAGGCTCGATATGTTTTGTAGAATACCCAATTCGTTCGCTTTGCGCTGGAGGACTTAATGGTAATGGCTCAGTAGTAATGAAACCATTTCAAAAGCAATTTCCCCACATAAGCCTCATGTGTTGTATGATGATGAAAGTCAACCAGCTTCATGCCCCCCTGTAGTATAAGTAAAGAGGTTACTCATCTTGCGTGTAACACATTCCAATCAAATTTTCAAGTTTCTTGACAATAAATGGCAGTGTAACCGATGGCTCCTCTGCCTCGTTCTCGGCCTCATTGTGGTAGCTGCTCCACCCTAGGCCAACGTTCCCTTCGGTAGGTGTCGCCAAAATGTCATCGACGTTGAACTGATTCCGGTGTTGCTGCCTAGTTGATAGGAAACAGAAATTTAGCAATCGCATGCTCCCACGTAGTGCTCATATGCTACTTTACATTCAACCTTGCGTTTCATACCTGCCACTTTCCTTGCCGAAAGATGTTGATAACGAAAAAGGAAGATATTGAGTAAGTAGATTAACAGAGCCTGTCCGGGCTCAGGATCTGACACTCCTAAGTGGGCATTTGCTCTAATGGTCTCAGAATATGTTCGAGCCAAAAAGATAAACGAGAAATCCGCCAATACGGTCGATAGCCTCCACATCAAACCTCGACATGAAGAAGAGGGGGGGAGCCCAACCTTGCTCTGCTCATCCCATCTGTATACTGTCTCTGCGCCACAACATTATGTCCAAACTCTTGCGCTGCCTCTTCAAGCCTCCTTCCACGGCAACAAAATCTCAACAGGCTTCATATCCTTCTCAACCATCTCGGCGACCTCCTTGGCCTCCAACCCCTTCAGCCCAGCCATGATCTCCTTGTACGTCCCCTCACTCAAGCCCTCTTTCCGATCGCAGTAGATGTCGACGCCCTCCTTCGTAAAGATGGTCGGCGCAAACCACGTAACAGCCCACCTCTCCGTCTCCCCTGCCGCCGTCTTCTTCTCCCCCCACCCGAGAACCTCCCAGTGGCTCCCCACAAAGAACAGCCACCCTTTGCCCCTCCAGTCCCACGCGCCCGTGTCGCCGCCGGGCCGGGACGCGGTGTCGACGCCCTTGACGGACTTGACGCCCGTCGAGGGGGTGCTCTTGTTGGACTCGTACTCGACCAGGTCGTCGATGCGCGCGGTGCCGTCGGGCTTCGCGGGGAGGGCGGCGTAGGTGATGCGCACGTTGCGGGCGTCGCGCCACATGGCGAGGGTGGAGTGCGTCACGGTCCATGTGCGCAGAAGCCAGTCTATCGGGGGCGCGGAGGTGGAGGCGCGAGGGGAGGATGTATATTTCGACGGGGAGATGAGGGCGACGTCGGTCGGAGGGGTGGCCATGATGGGCGGGCTGACTCGCGGTGGACGAGGCCGGCTGGGGATTCAATTGAGGGCTTTAATGCGAAATCGGAACACCAAAGGTCTTGCGCGCGTATCCGTAAGTATGTGATCAACCAAATAGGTGCAAAAATATTGCCGGTATGGGATGTTGTTCAGCGCAAGACGTGAGGTCAAACAAAGTCGCAAACCACCGCCCAAAGCTCCCGAGATCCGCGCCAGGGGTCTCGCACCCCCTACGCGTTTCAAAAAATGACATCAGTGCATGGCCCGGACCACATGAGCTTCAACTGCGCGCCCTGAGACAATCAATTAACCCCAAAAGCCTCTCTGAGGGGTTGCAAAAAAGGACACAGGAATGATTCGCGGAGAGTTGCATGTCTCACATAGGTCGTCGCAACAGCCGCAAGTACCCGACCTCGCTTCCAATCTTGCCATTCGCACGACAGTCGACCTGTTGGGGTTCGTCCCAGGTAAAACCTCGTCGTCTCTCCGGACCCCTAATTCGGACTACCTTACCTTAGTATAGAGAGCTCCCCACGAGGCTGGGATTAAGCGCCCCAGTGCCGAGCAAGGGTCTCCAGCTTATTTCGACCTTTTCCCGCTACAATTTGCCACGGATCTAACCGCGCCCCAAGCTCCCATTCTTTTTTTCCTCGCGTTGCCAATTGATTGTTCGTCGAAACGACAGCTGTATGCGACTTTCCCTCTCCGACCAACACACGACGAACAACCGCATCCTTTTCCCATCGTCCCATCCGTACCATCCCTCACCGCCACGATGGACACCTCCGACATCGACCCCGAGATGGCCGCCTTCATGGGCTTCGCTTCTTTCGGAACCCAACCCGCCGCGAAGAAGCGCAAATACAACCACCGCACCGACGCCGTCGCCGCCTCCGACTCTGCAACCGGCGCGAACCAAGTCGCCCTCGCAACCCGCACACCCTCGTCTGCCCCGGCAGCAGCCAGCACGACGAACACGGACGAGATCGCACTCGACTCCGACGCCGAACCCGACACCACCACCGCCGTCGCAACTGACACCAAAGCGGACGAGCCGCACCCGGCCGCCGCCGCCGCAGCAGACAACAACGACGACGACGAAGAAGGCGGCGCAAGCCTCTACTCAGACCCCACTGTCGCGCCCGCGCTGGCCCACGCGCAGTCGCTGATCGACGAGCTGACCGTCCGCGGCGGCGTCGGCAGCGCCGCCTCGCAAGCGCAGCAGGCCGGAGCCGGAGCTGGTGATGCGCTGCCCTCGGGCGCGAGCTTGCCTAGAAGACCGGAGGCGTCGTGGGGGCGGGAGATGGGCGCCGCGCCGACGAGCATGCCGGGCTGGAACCAGGGCGATGCGCCGCACGGAGGACGGGGCGGACGCGGTGGCGCGAGGAACAACCACCACCACCACCAGCACCAGCAGAGGGACGATGGGAAGCCGTGGTGGGAGGGATACTACGACCACAAGTCCAACGAGAACCCATGGGCGAAGCTTGAGAAGGCGGCTGGGGTTGAGCCAATGGGGAGCTGGGCTTTGGAGGGACAGGCGCAGACTGCTTAGGGACTTTCCCTCCGAGGAGCCATCGACATGAGGAAGGGCTGTATGGGTTGGGAGGTAGATGGACAAGGTTGTCAGCTACGTATCAGACTACAATTGATACATAGCCCCTCCCTTGTTCACCCGTCTCTTGGCCATGCCAGCGTCACCTCACCGGACCCAGACCGATATCACGTGATATCAACATCCCTGACCGGACAGGGGCAGACATCACAAGGCGTGGAAGGACTCTACGCTTCATCACATGATTCATCACTGGGTCTCGGAGATGCCCCACGACCAGGCCATCGTCGTGGGACTCGTTACGGTGGCATCACGGCATCGATGGAGCTGGACGGTACTGCTACGGGGGGAGGAGTGTAGGGACCAGCGACCCCCCGTCCGCTGGCCCCTCATCCGAACGAGAAAGAGGCTTACGATGTTACTATGGAAAAGCCCTATCGTCACTAGAGAACCGCCCGGGGTGTTGTGGGAAACGCCAGCCCGCAAAAGAGATCCATCACCCTCTCCCTCGCCGCCTCCCCTTCCCGAAAGAGCAATATCCCACCGCCCCGAAAAGGACAAGCGCCTCCCTTACAGACGCCGCAATTTTCACCTCTCCCCTCGTCTCCGTCTCCGTTGTCTCCTCTTCAGGCCCCAGGTCTCCACTGAATCGATCTCTCGGCTCTGAGGGCCTACTGCAGGACACCCTGGGCGCTTGCCCTGGATCCCCAGGAAGGAAGAGGGGGAGGTGTGCTTTTAAACTACAAAGACCGCCCAAATATCATACCCATTTCATCCAATCATATCTCATCATGGTTCCGTGGAATAAAGTCTCCCCAAACAAGGTCCTGAAGAGCAGAGGAAATCCAACAGCCCGGGAAAGCCCACGAGGTTCGGCGAGAACGACGGGAATGTGTGTGGAGGACGGATTAGTGGAGGGTCTACCACGCGCGCGGAATCCCTCCCCCCATCATCCGTCTCCACGGCTCACACATTTACCTCGCTGCCGCCCTCCGCGAAGCTCGCAAAAGCAGCGTGAGATGGGCCGCTAGCAGGCCCCATGCTCGCCCCGCGCCGTGCCGCTGCGCGTCAACCGCGATCCCGACTGTCAGGCTCGCCTAAGAAGCTGGCCCCCCGCCCCCCTGTCTCTGCTTCTCGCTGCCCCTCACCTCCTTGACAGCCCAATATGTACCCAAGAAAAATAAACAAACAAGGTGGAGGAGGCGTGCGCTGATCAATCGTCGAGCAAAAAATAGAGATGCAAAGTAAATCCGGGGATTTTTGGTATCTTGGTTCCTGCAGTTTCTGTGCAGGCAGGGATGCGTGTATGTCGTGCGTCGACTTTTGGTGTGGCGGGTGTGATGGAGGAGGTTGCTTTTGAAAATGACACGCTAGAAAAGACCGACACCCAAAGGTAAGGCTGAAAGAAACGCTTTTGTCGCCTGCTCGTCTCTGCTTCTTCAACGTCCGCGATGTCGCGCGGCTGAAGAAGAGATGAGAGAGCGCATTCGCAAGGTACGTCTAGTACTCGGGCGAAGGGTAGCGAGCGCGCGCCTTGTTGTACTCCTTGGTGTGCTTGCGGGAAGTCTTGCTCTTCAGCGATCTGCGCAGAGGTGTTAGCCCGGTTTTCTGTCTTGTCTCAGATCTCGCAGCGGCCGCCGCCGGTTTTCTGTCGAACAAGCTTGCTTCTTTCCGATGCCACCGAAACCCGCTTTTCCCGTGCCTCCATTTTCCCCGCCAGTTCGCGGGGAGAAGAGGGGAATTGCGAGATTGCCGGTAGATCGTCAATCTTGACCATCGTT